CCAACTGACTAATTGACAGGCTAACGAGGTGACCCTAAGCACAAGAATAATAGATTTTTTTAAAATAATGGCGGCAGGGATAAAGGACAGGATATGTTTATCTCAACAATTTCAGTAAACTGAAGTGGTTATGTTGATTAGTGTCCCTTTAAGTAATCAGCACTATTTGCGACTTTGTATTCTATGCAAAATTTAGCAATGTGTTTAATTTTCGCTCTAGTGTATTTTCTTATATTTCATTGTTTGTGCTATGTATGATAAATTCATCTGTCTTTTCTGAGTTGCATATGTGTCATATTGAAACATGCATTCTTCTTGCACTAATCAGTCTGCACTTCTTCCAGCCTCATTGTTTTTCTTATAAAGATGATGACCTCTGGAACTCTGCCACATGTTCCTTCATCTTAGCTATGACCTTTCGCACCAACTGAAATAATTAATCTGGGAGATGCTGAAGAGGAATGAGGATATCTCCCATGTTTTCTGTCACATTTATTTCTCTCCGTGTAAAATGAATCCGACGACTAATATAAAGTCATTTTACAATGGCTCCAGGAGAGATGTCTGTCATGATTCACCTTGGTAACTTGCCTGTAACACCTGGTTTATAGAACTATTCACCCAGATCATTTGTTTTGTCTAACACCTACTTAGTGAAAAGAAGCAGATATTAGAACAAGGAAAATATTACTGGTATAAGTAAGCCTCCAACTATGTTATACTCCTCTGCACTAATTGATAATCACTACAAGTGCTATTTTATAGCAGGTATTTTGTTTTGCAGAGTTTATAATAGTCAACTCAAATTACAGCAATATGTGTGAAGAATCAATTCTTACATTCACTAAGGCCTGGAACAGATCAGTGTCACTTAGTTTATAAATATTACCACACATGCAGTGGGATAAATCTTTTTGCTTTTATTTTATTCAGAAACAATGCAATATAATCGATACTGTATCTTAACGAGCGTAATATATTATAGAGTATTGCATATAATTACCAAATGTTCATACATCAGAGTATGTATCACCAACCTCAATGGAAAACAAATACAACATGTCAGAAATTATCCCCATTTGGGAGGAGGGTAAATTAAAGTAGTGGGGTGATCCCTCATATTTTCGGTCTTTACGCAAAAAAGACATTTTCAGAAAACAATATACCAATTCTTTATGATCTCACTTTAAAATGAAGAGTTCCTTTTCCTGTTTGAGGACAGATGGAAGATCACTGGCAAGATGTAAGGAAGTTCTGATTTTGACGATGGTAAAGATATGATGAGTTTTCTTGAAGCACCACCTAAATGTTTTGGAAAAATATGCATGTGACTCTGGAGAAAGGGATGTTTATAGTTGTTGAATTATACTATCAATATAAAGTACATAAACAGGAAATGAACATTAAGATTTTTTTTCACAACTTTCCAAGTACATCCTGTGTAGCAGTATAATGTCACTCATTTTATCGACCTTGGAAGGATGAAAAGATGAACAATGCTTGCTGGCAATTAAATTCACACATTTAAAAGTAAACAAATAGCTCTCATTTTGCTTGATTCCCGTACATATCACGCAACTCAGATGGACCACTTTAAATAATTTAGAATAAAAGAAAAAAGGTCACTCAGTTAAGATACAAGTAGAATTCTGGATTATTCAAGCGGAAATTGTGACTCCAAAATGCTGCCAATAGCTTCCTTATGCTACTACTAAGCTTTCTCTACGTATGACCCAATAGTACAGAAAGGAAAAGGGCAAGTCCATCAGATGTTTGTTATTGTACCAATCTCACCACAAACATTTGAATAGAGGATTGGTGCAATGGGATATATTCTAGGTAAGCTTTTGGGAACTAGATACATCTCAGTAAGACTTTATGTTTTATGAAAATGTCCATACGTACATCATAGGCTTTATTGCATTAAACAGTTTTTCCTCCATGTCTTTAGAGAAGCAAATGCCTGACCAGTTTGTGAAGCATGGTGATTTATGGTGAATCATATAAGTTAAAGAGAAATTACAAACGAAAATGCTTACTTTGTCATAGTGTTCAGACGATATAGTTGTTACAGAAATACAGAAGGGGACTTTTACTTTGGAGTGGCAAGAATGATTAAAGAAGGTATCTTATTTGCAAGACACCATTAATTGTAAAAGGCCATGAAGGGCATGTGAGAATACAGTGAATAGAGGTCTGCTAGAATGTTTAGTTGTCATTAGTAACATGTGCAGCACTAGGAGTGGAGAAACATTGGACAATGGCCCGTGTGTTGTTGTTGTTGTTATTATTACTGGTATTTATATAGCGCCAGCATAATTTGTAGCACTTTACAAAATTATCAAAGGAGGAGATTTAACAATAAATGAGACAATTACAAAAACAATAGGTTGAAGAGGGCCCTGCTGGAACCCTCTATAGGTGGTGGGGCATAAAACACAACAGTACAGGAGATAGCAATCAAACAAGGTGGAGTGAAGCAGAGCTGGAAGAGAGAATAGAGTGCTGCTCTTTTGGAGAGAGCAAGGGACAGGTACGTGAGGTAGAGGTTACTCTGAGAGGCCATAAGCTTTCCTAAAGAGATGGGTTTTGAGGCACTTTTTAAATGATTGAAGACTAGGGGAGAACATGATGGTCATAGGCAGGCTATTCCAAAGGAAAGGAGCCGCCCGTGAGAAGTCCTGCAAGCGTGAGTTGGCCGTACGAGTGCGAGCAGCGGACACGAGAATTATTCAGTGCTTTAAATGTATGACTTACCACTTTAAATTGACTCCTATAGGATACAGGGAGCCAATGTAAGACTGGCAGCGGGGTGAGGTGTGAGAGGACCGACTAGAGAGGAAAATCAGTCTGGCTGCGGCATTCTTTATAGACTGTAGTGAGGCAATACAGCTTTTGGGGAGACCAATCAGTAAACGGGTTACAATAATCCATGCAGGAAATTACTAGAGCATGGACAAGCTCCTTAGTAGCATCTTGCGTAAGAAAGGGGTGGATGCGGGCTATGTTTTTTCTAAGCTGGAATTTATAGGATTTGGTAACTGACTGAATGTGAGGCTCAAATGTGAGGCCAGAATTAAGTATAACGCCAAGAAGGCACGCTTGCAAGGATGGACTGATGTGGGTACCATTAACTTGAAGGGAGGGCAAAGGAGGATGATCAGTATTAGGAAGAGGAAAGACAAGGTGTTCAGTTTTAGAGAGATTGAGTTTCAAAAAGCAGGAGGACATCCATTCAGAGATGGAAGAAAGGCAAGCAGTGACATGTTGCAAGATGGCAGTGGAGGTATATCTGAGTGTCATCAGCGTACAGGTTGTATTGGAATCCAAATGAGGTAATAAGTTTGCCAAGAGAGGCAGTATAAGTGGAAAATAGAAGGGGTCCAAGTACAGAGCCTTGGGGGACACCAATAGAGACAGGACAAAGGGGGAAGGTATCATTAGAAAAGGAGACACTGAATGAGCATTGGGAGAGATAGGAGGAAAACCAAGAGAGGACAGTGTTACAGAGACCGAGTGATTGAAGAGTTTGGAGAAGGAGAACATGGTCACCAGTGTCAAAGGCAGCAGAGAGGTCAAGAAGAATTAGTATGGAGTAGTGTCCTTTGGATTTAGCTGTGATTAGGTAGTTAGTGACTTTAATAAGAGCAGTCTCAGTAGAGTGGAGGGTGCAGAAGCCAGACTGAAGAGGGTCAAGAAGAGAGTTGGAATTGAGGACACAAGTCAGACAGGTAAAGACCAGTCTTTCCAGAACCTTTGAGAAAAAGGGAGAAGATATATGTGATGATAGTTAGAAGGGGAGGATGGATTTAAGAGATGTGTTTTTTTTTGTTTTTTTTAAGATGGGTACTACAGTAGCATGTTTAAGGGCAGCAGGGAAGAAGAGCGAGAGCAGTGAAAGATGTGTATTAAGGAAGGCACAAGACAAGAGGATAGAGATCTGATAAGGTGAGACGGGACAGGATCAAGCGAGCAAGTGGTGGGGTGAGATGAAAGGAGAAGCGCAGCCACCTCTTGTTTAGTAGCCTGGGAGAAAGTCTGAAGGGTAGGAAAAGCACGATTCCCGTGTGGTTGAGAAATAGAGGGTCATGGTGATGAGAATTCTTTCCTTAGATGTTCAATCTTGTCGGTAAAGTAGCATTCAAAGATATTAGCTGTGAGGTTAGTTTGAGGGATGGCAACAGCAGGGCAAAGAAGTGAGTTAAAGGAATTGAAAAGACACCAGGGATTGTGGGAGTATGAGCTATTGAGGGAGGAAAAGTATAAATGTTTGGCAAGGGCAAGGGCTATGGTATATGAACTCAACATATATTTGTAGTGAAGGAAGTCCAACTGGGTGCGTGACTTCCTCCAGCAGTGTTCAGCAGAACGGGAGTATCTTTGCAGGTAGCGTGTTGATTTAGTGTGCTCGGATGGGGGCGTGTTCTCCTCAAGGTGCATGTTTGGAGCGGAGCTGCAGTATCCAGGGCAGAGGTGAGGGCAGTGTTCTATGAAGAGAAAGCCAGTGAGGGACAGGAGAAAGTAGGGATGGATAGAAGTTGGCAATCGATATTAGCTGATAGCTGCTGGAGGTCAATATAATTCAGAGAGTGATCATGTGATCCCAAATGCAGAGGACATATTGTAACATTTAATGAATAACACTTACTATATAGAGATCCAGATTAACGCTCCATGCTCACCGAATAATAGGGAGCAAAAATAAAAGAAAGTGTGTTTTTGGCCAGGAGGACCACTAACAACAATGAGCTCAGTTTGGAAGGCATAATTCTCCTAATATGCGAGAAATTTTTATTTCTTTTTTAAACCTTAATAATTCTGCATTATAACAGAATTCCATCAATCAGATGCAACAACACCACATAAACTAATTAAAGACAGACAAACTGTTGACATAACTGTTGACATAAAGAAATCACACACACACGTGTGTGTGTGTGTGTGTGTGTGTGTGTGTGGATGCATTACTTGTTTAACAAAATATGAAAGCAAGTCAGCATCTAATATTCTTCATCGCTTATTGCAGACATAAATACTACAGCTGTTTCCAGTGATCAGAATAACTGAGCACATGTTAGCTTTCTGTTCTAAAAATAAGCAAGCATTGGTCAGGATATAAATTGTGAGCATGGGTTGGAATTATTTTCCCCCCCAGTTTCAGTACTATTTACTTTTAATGTATGAGCAGAGCATGTGGAAGAGACAGTATGAGGACATTAAACCTGCACCTGTAGTGATTATTTATGTTGGAAAATGTGAGTGCAGAAGACTAAGAAACATTATGTTTACCAAAGATTTGAATGTAAATAGAGAATTATTTTTCATGTAAATACCATCCTCTCTATGGGTCTGTCTTTGAGTTGGCAGCAGGTGCTACTTACTCTAGAGAGTAGGTTCTAAATAACCAAAGCAGATGGTCTACTGGAAATTTCATGTGGGGTGATGATGATGTTAAAAAACTTGTAAATTAAAATATATCTCTAAACCAAAGATTTTATTACAAACATGTTGAAAATAAATTTTTTAGAGTATGATGCTCTCCAGCGTGTTCTAACATTTACTGAAAACAATTTCATTTTTTTATTTTCTTGTTTTTTACAATCCACTGAGTAATAAATAAAATAAACCAAACAGTAAATTGTGATGAATTAAAAGCCACACACTCACATATCTCAATATACTAAAATTCCAATAATGAATGTTCTGTATCGACCACAGAGATTTTATTTCTGTTAGATTCCTTGTTCTATCTTTTTAACGGTTATAACATGACACTCTTATCCATTTGCAAAACACACAAATTGCTCATAGGTTTGGTTAAAGACAGAGCAATATATAAGAAATAAAAAGGAGCAGAGAATTTTGCTCGTGAGTCAGAATCTGTAATATATCATCTGTAGCACTTATATGCAAAGTTCTAGATTTAAGGCACGTGAGCTTACGATCTAAATAGATAACAAGCATTGACACAAGAAGAGGCAAAGAGGAAAATACAGTTTTTCAATAAAATTGTATGAAAAAGTCCTTCAAACACTTGCACTTGTAAAATGCTTTTACAAGTGCCAGCAAATAATACACATTTAGTTACATTTCAAGAGGGATCAATACAGGCACATTAGAGAGTATCTTTATAGTAGAGATATAGATGATGATTTCAATACCTTTTGACTCAGTCCTGACTGCAATCTATCTTAAAGTTGCTGCAAAAATATATATAAGGTAATGCAGGCTTGGTGAACTAGCTGTGGGTGCATCTGGGATAAGAAACAAATCATTGGTCATTATTTTATTATAGAATAATGCCTAGACACAGATACTTAAATAGATATGCTAACAAAAAAAGAAGAAGCCATTAGACTAGTGCATTGTGAACATTTTTGGTCATTACGAATTCATATGGTTTAGATTTTCAAAATTATTTGATTCTGAAGAATTTTGGTTGAAGTTTGAATAATAATTTTGACATTCAAAAGGACACAGAATCGTTTAAATTGTTGTCAAATTTCAGTTTGGGCAAAGCTGAATCTTCAAGTCTGGAAACCATAGAAAAAAACCACAAGAAGAGAGACAGTGGGATAAATTACATTAAAAATTGTATGTTTTTAACAATCTCGGTTTTACGTGGGCTTCAAGGAGGTGGAGGATTCAGAAAACATGTAAAGAAACAAGTGGCCAGATTAAATGAATGTCTACCTTATCTTCTATCATATTTACCTCAATGTTGTTTAATTGACACAAACGTTCATTACACTTTGGTCTGTTCTGAACTGAAATGTGAAAAAATGGGCACTCATAGGTAATCTGAAAACTTAATTCTACCATTTAGCTATAGTTGCAGTTGGACTGTTTTATCCTGAATTTTTACATTTAGATTTCAACTCACTACAGTTTGGATTTTAGCGAATAAACCTCATGACGACACTTATGAAGAATAAATGTTCCAAGACCCCATATGTTTAACAAAAACAATTCAGAGAGCAGTTCATTAATCATACAAACATAGAAATATAGAATGTGACGGCAGATAAGAACCATTTGGCCCATCTAAGCTGCCCAATTTTCTAAATACTTTCATTAGTCCCTGGCCTTATCATACCGTTAGGATAGCCTTATGCCTATCCCACGCATGCTTAAACTCCTTTACTGTGTTAACCTCTACCACTTCAGCTGGAAGGCTATTCCATGCATCCACTACACTCTCAGTAAGGTAATACTTCCTGATATTATTTTTAAACTTTTGCCCCTCTAATTTAAGACTATGTCCTCTTGTTGTGGTAGTTTTTCTTCTTTTAAATATAGTCTCCTCCTTTACTGTGTTGATTCTCTTTATGTATTTAAATGTTTCTATCATATCCCCCCGTCTTGTCTTTCCTCCAAGCTGTACATGTTAAGATCCTTTAACCTTTCCTTGTAACTTTTATTCTGTAATCATCTACAAAACAATGAAAAACAAACTGGCATACAACATTTTGACAATAATTTTTTTCCTGTAATGACTTTTTTGAAGACTTGTATAAAAAACAAACAAAAAATAAATAAATAAGACTTGGTATATAAAGGAATATTGCTTAGGATAACAGATTTGAGAGAGCACTTGGGTGGCAGGTGCTTGTGGAGTTTTACAGACCTGGACTATAGAGATGATTATGGAACAACACAGAATAGGTGTGGAAGGAAATCTAGTGGCGCTTTGTAATAAAGGTTTTAAGTTATTTTGTTTAGCTGCTAAATACACTCAGTGGGTACTCCAAAAAATCCACTATAACATGCAAATGCCTAAATGACAAATAACTAAGAGTAGGTTGGTATGACTACCTTCCCACTTCTTAGTAAGAGTGTAGCGCTATGGGTGTGGTTATAAAGTGACCAAATACAAAATATACACTTACCCCTCAGTATACAGGGGGTACATATGCAAAAAAAGAAAAAAGGTACACAGAGTAATATTGTATAGCTTCTAAATATTCTTAATTTCTAAATTCAGTGTGTAGAAATAGACTCACATTTTAAAGAGCCTTTTATATGGGTATAGGCTCTAAACACTTTTGCATCCGTGCCTTTAAGGTAGGCAACAGTACCGTTTTCGTATGGTTTGTTCCTCCCTTTTCCTCCCAGCCAGTATTAATCTCCAGGAAAGACAAAAAAAGAGAAGGAACTTCTGGGTGCAGATTTTTCTGTAACCAAGGTATACAATGTTGTATATGAGAAATAAGTGCTCACCTTCTTTAGAGCCTTTTGGTAACTGGCTCTAAGTGTTTGTAGTTTTTGTGTGAGTTTTTAGGGTGACACTACCCTCAACCAGATCCAAGATGCAAGGTAGAGGTGGAGGTAAGTATATTTAAAGTATTTATTAAACAACAAAGTGAAATAAAAGTTTAAAAGTATCAAAACTAAATAACAATAAGAAGATAAATAAATATAGTATATGTTAGTCCTCTTCCTCTCCTTCTGTGCCAAGACTCTAGGCTTTTTCAATTATAGTTGGCAGGGTGGACATCTTAATAGTGTTAATTCTTCCCAACCAGGAGATCTCCAATTTACTCCAATTAATAGTTGACTGTAATTTATCAAGATACTGTTAAAAGTTGACTAGAGACATAGTGTAAAAACCAAAGAAAATAATTACTTGCACACTTGTGTATGGATGTATGTTTTAGGCAGTATGAGTGCATTGATGTATATGTGTGTATATGGATTAGGAAGTAAGTGTGTGTGTGTGTGTGTGTGTGTGTGTGTGTGTGTGTGTGTGTATGTATTAGGAAGTGAATGGTGCATGGCTGATTGGATGCATGTATTAGGCAACATGTGTCTGGATGCATATACTGGTGAGTCTCTTTCTTTCCATAAATGTCTGCTCTCTGTCTCTCTCCTAAAATGTCTCCCAGTCTCTGTTTCCTAAATATCTCAACAGTATCTATATCCTTTCCCTAAATGTCTCCGCAGGCTGCTTCTCTCTGCTTTCTCACCAGTGTGTCTGCTTTGTGTCCCCAGTGCCTTTCCTTTCCCTAAGAGTCTCTTCACAGCAATTCAGAGTTTAGTGAATAAACCTCTGAGAGAATGTAGTTGCAAGAATCCTTGCACCAACCTTGTGTCCAGTTCTGTCATGCTCCTGAGCAGGTCAGAGAGGAGACAACTGCAAGGGTTATTGGTTAAAACTTTATTTGTCGTATTAGACATAACAAATTTACTGAAATAAAGAATAAAGGGCAGTCTGCCACAAACAGGATACTTTGTGAGAAAAAACAGGGTTTAGGCAATATGCTACAAACAAGATCTTTAGAAAGTAAATGAATAAAGTATTTTGAATACAAGCAAGCTTGAAGTTATACCAAGAAGTTAAGAACTTCCAGGATACTTTGCAATGCAGCTAGTTATAGGTAACTACCTTTTAGGATAAGACAATACTGGATCATGTAGAGTTGCAGAGGTTGAAACAGGTAGGTATATTCCAAAATAATATAATGTAGGTTGCTTAGAAGATCATGCAGTTAAGATTCTTCAATTAAGGAAATACGCCACAAATCAGGATTCTTGGAAGCTGATAAGGAAAGTCTTTCGGTAAGATGTAATTCAGGCAAGTTCAGGATGAAGTAATGCAGGTTAGTGCCTTTCAGTATGAGGAAATGCAGATGAGTACAGGATGAGGCACTGCAGGTAAGTTCTCTACAGAATCAAATAATGTAGATAAAATACAGGATATTACCAGGAGCATAGATTCTTCGTTTACTCTCAATGCCTTTCCCAGATTGTACAGCAGATTTTCACTGCCCTGAAGTCTATTTCTGGCTTGTGAAGAATCATCCAAGGATGCCGCTGGATTTAGATCTTAGGCCTGAAAAATTGCAGAGCACTGCTCACGTACAACCATTCTCCATGACAGTTAGGACACAACCCCTTTTTGACAATTATTTTGAAATGATCACACATTTTCAGTTTCATTTCCGAACCCTCAATAGATAAGAATTTAATTTAATACATAAATTGCCTTACCTTCCTCTATATACAGAGAAATTCAGATGTGCCAAAAAGTATTGTGAATAGGCAGTCACTGATTTGCTGAGAGCATCAGTTCATTGCTCTCAGCCCACCAGTGGCTTCCTTGCCCTCAACACTTTGCACTTCCTGACAGTGAAAAATCCGAATGTCAATGTTTGGAGGTGAGATGGGCACTGGAGGCAACTTTGGAGTTAAACCGTTCTAGAACGGTTTAACCTCTTGATGTAAAAGTGTGCCTGGGGGCCTCCTGGCACTGTCAGGTTATATGGGACTAAACTGTCCCTTTAAAATATTGTTATATTCTGGTTGTAATCAATACATTCATATTCTTCTATTTGGAACCATGAAAAAATGAACACAAGGAAAAACATGAAATAATGATATTAAAACAAATGCATTTGACACTCTGTGCATAATTGTAGTTATTTATATAGCAATGTAATTGCTGTTCACTTGTGTACAGCAGTCTTAAAATAATTTCTAGGACATTGCAATCTTTATTTTTTTTGTAATTAATCCTGAATGATGTTCTTTGTGCCGTTATATTATTCCCAACACCTTATAATAATGCATCTACCTGGTCTCTGCTGAGCAGTAAAACTAATGTGTTAGTGACAGGCTAGATGAGGATTAGGGAATATCTTCATGGAAAACTAGAGTAAAGGCACTGGCCTTCAAGGCAGCCTAGAGTTAGATATTTATAGCACTAGAAAGTTTGCAGATGTTTCATATAAGTTTGCAGAAAACACAATAGATTTTTCAACTAATATGAAATACTATTTTAAAAAAAATATTTAAAGATACGTTATGTGTTAATTTTGATATACATGATACATGCAATTAATTCATAGCATAACATAAGAAATTGTATATTTATTTTAGTGCACTAAGACAAATTTTCCAAAGTAGCAGTTTTAAATTATTTTGCATTTCTTGTCATAGATACATCACATGATCCATTTAACTATCAAGTGTGGTAACACTTCAACTGTAACAGTCAACTGTACATTGTTTTTTTAGAAACACATATATTTATTCAAAGTATAAACTTTTGAATAAACTTCCTTTATTAGTTGTAACCCTTTTTTTTTTTTAATTCTATCTATATTGAGTGAAACAGTAACACAGAGATACCAAGCATTCACATACCACTGCCAAACGGCAGTTTTACAATTTGTATCACATTTCTATGTGGAAAAAGAGAGACTAGCAACCATCCTCTAAGACAAAATGTGTAATAGTGAACGAAAAATAGCAAATAGGGCACATGATATAAAGGATAGGTTCTAATGGATAGACTGAATAGAAAGGTTCAGCAAACATATAATTCTACGGAAGAGAGTATGTCCCAGTTGAATGTGGAGGATGGGGGTAGTGAAGAGGTTAGGAAAACTCTTTTTTTAATGAATTTTTGCCCACCCTGTATTTCAACGTATTACAGGCCTGAAGTAAATGTGCTTGTAGTACACTTTGTGTCATTTGCCACAGCACACTGAAAACTACTATTTTATTGCCCTGTATACAGCATGCAAGAGATGGAGAGCTTCCAAAACACTAAATACTTGGTCATAATTTTACTTGCTGACATGTTCTTTCTGCGTATCCATTGAATCATCCAGGGCACTAATTCCTTCAAAATATAAATAACCTTGTCTGTACCTAACAAAAATGTTCATAAATTGCCTGTTGACAACGGGAAGATGACTTCTTGTTTTAAATATTATTATAATTATAAATAAAAGGTTTGATCACAATATGGGTTTAAGAGAAAACAAATTTTGTTAAGTTTTGAGATGGTAGGTGGAACAAAATGGGGTGGAGCCTGCAACCCCTCATCTTACAACTTCACAGGTCACTCAATAATAGTTTACCAAATTAATAATCTTTGCATCAAACAATTATTCATTTGATTTGCTAATATACAGAGATCATCCTTGCAATGCTTGATGTATTTTTATTTTTTTTATTCATCTTTATTTAACCCCTTAAGGACACATGACATGTGTGACATGTCATGATTCCCTTTTATTCCAGAAGTTTGGTCCTTAAGGGATTAAAGGGTTTCCCCCCTTTTTTTTCTTTTTTTCCATAAAAAAGACAATACAATACAACAGTTACATACAAATGGTAAAGAAACAATTTTCCTATTTAAGATATTCATCCATAAGATGTTCCCTTACACATTTCAATTAAACAAAAACTAACAATATTTTAGACTTACACATCTACATAGACAATGCTTGATGTATTTGACAGTAAAAACAGAATATTTTCCAATATGTATGAAGCATGATTTAACATTATATCACTACGCGAATGATTTATATAGTACAGAATTTACCTGCATGTATGGTTGCATGTGAGTTGTTTCATATGTGTTCAATAATGCAAACAAGAACTGCTGTAGCTCTAATGTAAGTTTAAGGTTTACTCTTGCATACAGAAAATTATAGTAGGAACCCACTCGAGAAAAGAAAAATTAAATATGTTTCTGGGCAGTGTAAATCATCTAGGTATATAATTCGTATTTTCTTTTCTCCAGTATAGTCTAGAAAGCAACATTAACACAGAAAATTTGTAATTATTGTAACACCATATGGGGTTCACCATACATTATTCATTCAAATACATGTAAGCAAGAATAATAAGCTTTCACAAATTATGTTGAAATTTTTTTTTGTCATCATTTGGCAGATATACTACAAATAGAACTGGCAATAATAATGATGAACTAAATAATAATAAAATAAATATATAGTAATATATTAAATAAATTAATGAAAATGTAAGCTAATCAGTATTGTTTTAAATTACAAACGGTGATAATGCATATTTTATAACCACATTATTTTCAAAAGCCAGTTCTTTCTACTCTTGTATAGCAATACTAAAGTATGATTTAAAATAAAAATTTGGTTTGGACATCGGACAACTCTGTTAACCAAAAACAGTGTTAAGCAAGTATTGCTTGTTAGATCTCAGGAAGACAAATGGCCCAAGTCATAAAATAATATGTGTGTATGCTCAAACAGGTAAAATAATGTATAGACTTGCAGTGCTGTATATTCCAAAGACACAATAAGGCAATTGGATAAACAGATATTGGTAACCTGCAGAGTTTGTGAAACTGATAGACTTTGAAACAAGCAGTCATAACATATAAAAGAAATGTCACACAACGAATGTGATAAATGCTCAATAATCAAGAAAATGTAAATACTTTAAAAGTTTCAGTGATAATTATATGATAGATTCATAAAAATATTATATTGTAATTACTTTGATACAAGAAAATAGAACAATTACTTTACATCACATTTTCATAAATTAAATCTTAGTCTCCATTTATGTTGCATTAAAAAGCAAAAGACTCAATGCCCATTTGCTAACACATGTTTAAAGATAGTTCTTGGAGCCTCAGATTAAAATAAATAATCCTAAAAAGGGAATATAATATGTGATGATGTGATGTGTGTATATATGTAAGGCTGGGCCTGTAGTTGTGGGAGGGGCTTGGTTTCCCTTCTTAAGGGATGCCAGACCACTCCCCATTATCGTTTTCAGTCTGGCAATTTGCATACCGTGACTTCCGGTCTGTGCAAATCGCCATTTTCCTTACCTTCAACTTGTGCAATCGCTTACCTGACCCTGCAGCCCCTGGTTGTCCGTTTCGCTGTCTTCCAACTCTCCAGAACCTCGACATGACTCCCATACCTGCTCCAGTCACTTTGTTGACTGAATCGTTAAAACCGTGAGTCGAGCCACCTGTCGCACCTCGGTCGCGGGCGCTCAGCGTCATTCCGGGGCTGCTCTATGCTTTAATCTCCTTTCGCATATATCTGTCTGTTTTTCTGTTTTGCACATGAACGCACTTGTTCGGCTCAAACTTACAAACACAGGTTGTATTTCTCAAACTATTATTTCGTACAGTTTTTGTTACTCTCGGAACGTTCGGTTATATAACGCCCTATGCCCTAATGCCCTATTTTAGTAGTAGGTTTCACACGATTTCATGCAAATAGTTTTACTTCACTGTTTCAGTTAAATACTGTATGTTTTAAATGTTGGCCTCTAGTGGTTGGTTTTAATATTGCACAGGAGTTTAATTGAAGTCAGATAATTACTGCATATTTAATGTTGACCTTTAGTGGTCAATTGTGATCTTCAAATTAGTTTTTTGCATTTTTCACACACAAACAAATATTAACACAAATTTTGGCCAGTGTTTGTGACTAAGTGGCTACTAGAAAAGATTGGACATACCCCATTTGCAATACATTGGGCTGTCTACTTTTGCAAATGGTATGCCATCATGGGGGTAATTCTTATTCCTGGGCTACCATACAGTATCAAAGGCAATGTAACCAATCTGGCAGATTTCAATGTGAAAAAAATGAAAAATGTAACATGCTTTATTTGACCCTGTAACTTCCTAAAACACCATAAAGCCTGTACATAGGGGGTACTGTTTTACACATGAGACATTGCTGAAAACAAAATGTGCAGTAAAAGCAAAAAGTATTATGACACTCGCAGTTAAAATGTCACGTAGAACTAAAAAAAAAATGTAAATTCTTATTTTTTCCCATTGTTTTTATATTTTATTCATATTAAATTATGTTTCATACCTAAATATTTGATGTTAAATGAAAGCCCTGTGTTCCCTGAATAAAATGATATATAATAAGTGTGGGTGCACATAATATGAAAGAGGTGAATTACGCCTGAACAGACACATAGC